TACCTTCCCTTTAGTTTATCAGTTGAAAATGGGTGAACACTATGCGCAGATAACCCTTATGTAGCTTTGCACAAATTTTAATAAAGAGATTGAAAGAAATCACGAAGCTGTCAGTTAGACCAGTGATTTTCAACGTGGGCACACATGAATGACAGAAAATTAGGGGGCCACAGTAATTTCTGAGTGGGACACCGAACACTGCCCGAATAAAATATTCACATTTAAAATTGAATCAAAAGTTCCCTTCTCCCCGTATCGTCCACAGCTCAGAAGTAAAGTTACCGGACGCGACTAGTACTCGAGTAACAATCAAAATTCCGGATTGAGTGATGGATCCATTTGGGATGAATGTGGTTGATGTTGACATCACATTACAAGAATGTCTCATCGAACTGCAGAGTGATATACCAGTCCCAGCTAGATTCAAACACAACAAACTTTATTTCTGGATAAGTAGTGAAATAGCTAATAAGTTTCCACAGCTCTGGGAAAAGGCAAAGTTATATTTTATCACTTTTCCCACATCTTATATGGTTGAATCTGGTTTTAGTCGGGTGACTTATTTGCTATCAAAAATACGTAACCGCCTTGATGTTGTGAAGAGATATGATCTTTGCTTATCACTGACCACACTGCAATCTGAAATTCAAAAACTTTCAAGTGTTCATCAAGACCAAGGATCACACTGAATAAAATGTCAATGATTAACAGAATATTTTTTACTTGTACAAGTAAACAGCATGTTATAAACAAAATATTTAAAAAAACAATACATTATTGTAAAAATAATATTATAAATCAACAGTGTGGAAATGAAATAATTTTTTCCTAAGTAACAACGTCTACGAAGGGTGGGGCCACAGAGATAAATCAAACTCAAAAGGGAGCCACGAGTAAAAAAAAAGGTTGAGAAACACCGAGTTAGACGATGGTGAAATTCAAATTATTTTTCAATCTCTCTTTCAGAAAGTACCAGTCATAAAAGTAGCATTTAAATTATCAGCAACTGTAATACATTTATTAAGAATTATTAAATTATTATCAGTAAGATGTTCCGTAACCACGACCTCTCCTTCACCTTGCTACAACTATCTAAAACTATCAATCCGTAGACTTAACCTTATGCTGTATTAGTAGTTTCTGCAAAAGAGAATATCTAAAACACAGCAACAAAAATAAGTTTTATTAATTTTCTTACTTATAAAGAAGGAGTAAGTAACGAACATTTGATAATGTTTTTTATTTTTATTTAACGATATCAAAAGTATTGTTTTAGCAGCGTATGTCCCTTTTCACAACTATAGAGTAAAAAAAAAATGACTACACAAGCACACTACAGCTTGTAATTCGTTTGATTATAAATATCAATTGGAACTATGATACCATTACTATACACGCCAACAAAACTCATTCCAACATTAAAGTCTTGCTGTGACTGATGTCAAAATATTAAATTATGTAGGATGACAAAAGTAGAAAAACTAAAGAAATATAAAACAGCAAAATATGGGCCTTTAAACCTGGTCACGACATCAATAATTCACGACCACTCATCCCCATGCGAGAAATTATTTTGTTCTCATAGTCGCCAAACGAAACAACTACCAATGAGGTCGAGTCATGTAAGCTGCGATTCTGTCCTCGAGAAACTAAATTGGGTAATGTTTCTAGGGTAATATATTATCAGAAAAACAACTGAACTAGTATCCAGTTCTGAGCTGTCGCCACAGGAACGTTTTATTCCTATATATTCCTTCGTAACGTGATTTCTAGAATAACAGACACAGAATTTGGATTACTATCATTCATGACATTATTGAAGTAATCAACCAAATCAAAAGCCGAAACTTGAGAATATAATGCCAGATCATGTTAAGATTACTAAAGTCTTATACCAAAAAAAAAAGCGTCCTAGGGAATAACTTTGGAATTTTTTAAACACGCGGTTTCGAGTTTTATTACCCGTTCACGACAAACGGTCAAAGCACAAACATCTTTTGCTATCGATTACCACACCACCTGACCGCAAAGGAATGTGTCCCGCCTGAAGATAGGAAGTGACTGGACAGTGTGCGCTCTGTACTACCCCTCCCCCGCTACACGTTCTCAAATTTCCTGCCCTTGTAGGCAAACGTTGAAAATCATGGCGCCACTTTTCAGTTCTAGATTCCAGGTCATCAGGAACAGTGGTAAGAAATAGTGATCAGGTCAAGAAACTAAGGAATTCCTTCGAATTTCCTTGGCCTTGGCAAATGACAAGCATGAAAGCGCGCACGTGTTGTGTATTCCCTGTCTGTGTGGTCTTGAGTGTTACATTCTATGAATGCCTCATACCAATGGTGCATGACGTAATCATAGCTGCTGTCAGACAGTACACGTAATCAATCTTTCTATGTCGAGCATTAGATCCTTAACTATAATTAAATTGTCACATTTGTTACAACATGCACAGAAATAACATATAAAGAACTGAATTTTCACTCTGACCTTTTTTATCTCCATTTAAGCTCGCAGTATCAACCTCTTCACTCAGTTTTTGAAGTCATTAATTTTCTATGAAACATATCTGAGATACAATGTTGACAAACGACTTTCAACAAACTTGAAATATCCAGATATTACTTACACATGAAGGGTATTGTTATTGAGCAACTAGTAACACTATACACATTGTTGTGGTTTTTCGTTGTTGTTTTAATCCCCATTGAAATTCTTCTAATTGAGGGTGACCGTTGCTGCTTGCTCCCTCTATAAAGATATAGGGGGAGTGATCACTTCTCCCGTTTCTGCTCCACTGCTACCGATTTCACTATCTTTATAAGCACACGCACGCGCACACATACACACACTGTCAAGTTAAATTTAGCTCTGATTTCAAACGAAAGATGAGTTTGTGGTAATTACTTCTAATAAACAGCTAGAACAAAACTCTTGCTAGCTACGACTTGACAGACAAAATATACCCCACTTCATCATGATAGGAAAACACGCAAGTTCAAGAAATTAATTAAAGTCAAAAATATGAAACTCAGTAACTCAAACGCTTTTAAAAGAAATACCTCCCTTCATCAGGGACAGAAACTTTAATCTTTAAAAAGTCCTCGGCTTATAGGGTTTCTTACTTTTGTCTTTCATACATCACTGATTGCCCCCCCCCCCCTCTAGCTAAGAAGTTCTACACTAACATTTTAAAGTTTCTTGTTCTGTATAAAAATATCATTTTATATAGACTTTAAGTTGCCATACACCACATTTGAATCAATGGCGTTCCGACATTGATCTACGGTAGACAAGAGATATATTTGAAACACCTAAACATACTTTTATTTGAAATTCGTAACAGAGGAATATAATAAGAACTGTACATTTCCTTAATCAGAACACAGATAGTCTTTTGTGTAGCTTTGTGTTTAATAACAAACAACAACAACAATAGTTTATTCGCTAGAAGGCTTGTAGCTGCAAGGGTTAAATCTATTTTAACTATATAATGTTCAGGCCATTCAAAAACCAAGTCAAGAGAGGAATATTTGGGCATAGTAATATGTTTAAAAAACGAAATGTAATGATAAGGTATAACATTCCAATGTCAGTGAGGCGAGAACAGTTTGGACTTATAAAAATGTAAAGAAACATTATGCCTGTTCTTTTGAATATTTTTATATTGTAACATTCCGTTTGAACTTTAAAGAATTGAATATTAAGAATCAATAGCGTTTTCGCTTCGCCAACTGAATCGTTTTACACTTTAACACTAGTTTACTAGTATTGAATACAAGTATCATTTTAAATAAAGTTTTAGTTGTAGGTACAGCCGAAATGATGAGTTTTTATATTGAATAAATGTTTCCTACGCAGCGAGTTGTGACACTCAAAAGACAGATGGACCTGAAATGCAACTTTCACAAGATTGGGTTTAAAACCGTAACAGATTGAATATAGTAAAAACAACAACAAGAGTAGTGATTATATGTTTCTGTACGTAGTATTATTAAGTTCAGCAGTTACGTTTTGTTGTTGATTGCATTTTTTGATAAGTAGCTTAGGTGCCTTTTATTAAACACAGGTGATTTAACTAGGGGTACCTTTAGGGATATTTTTCCTTTACAAATTAACCATTTAGTATTGCGAAACTACAAAGATGTATTTTCTTCTGATATTTGTTTGTAATTAAGCACAAAGCTACACAATAGGCTATCTAAATTCTAACTAAACAGCTCTAAACCTGGAAACGAAGCTCTCTCAATCCCAGTTCTATCACTCACTAACATTTAAATATTCTCATTCGATGACGAGGAACCCACTTTGAGACTAATAATTGGCTGGAGACGGCTTGAATGGGTAATGAAGAAAAACTTACATTTGATGTTATATTAAAGTTTTTCTTCGTTACCCATTCAAGCCGTCTCCAGCCATTATTTAAATATTCTGTTCCGTTGGATATGGTCTGTAGGACCACGGTTATAAGGCCCTCCAGTGGAATGTCTACGGACTTGTACTGCTAGGAACCAGGTTTCTAGCGTTGTAAGTTCACAGACATACCGCTGTGCTACTGGGGGGCTTCTCTGATATATAAACGCGGTTATGAAGTCAGCCTATAACTACAGAGAGTTGAGTACGTTATACAAAAAACGAATTTGAAAATGAAAATCATGAAGTTACGTGATACTATGGTTGATATAAAGTCACAGTGAAACAGATTGTATCAGAACTATATTTTGACATTGTTTGGAGTTACATAAGTAGTTTGCTGCTGCCAATTTTTTTTTTTTTTTAGGGTAAGGACATGTAACAGACCTTTCAATACAAAATATTCATACACTCAGATCATAAAGTTGTTTAGACTGCCCTAACCTCCTGGTCATGCCAGGCCCGAGTACATGCGGAGGACATCATGCAGACACATTCAGGAAGGTGGATGTCAGTGATTGGCTGGAAATCAAACTGAGCAACTACATCTCCTTGGATTCAACTGTTTCATAAAAGAAGTACACTTTGCATAGAGCAGCAAATTGAACCGTTTCGTTTATTGTGTGTGACCTGTTCAAGGTCGTCAAAGTATATTTACACCAAACTCCTGACCACATCACGGAGGTCCTCGGTGGGCATGGAACCCACTACTGGTAAAAAAACAAATGTCTCTCGAAACGACTCGTATTCAGCCAGTCTTTGATTGAGGCTGATGACAGTTTATCCATTATAGCCAAGAATATCTAGACTTTGAATTTATTCGACAGGGAAAGATCGGTATCTTCGTGACCCCCTCTTATATTCCATTCTCTTTTCCTAAAATGTTCTTGTTAGTAAGTGTCAAAGCCTGAATAGTTTTTATTTTAATCTCCGAATTCTGAAAACAGTGGGCACATTTTCTGCACAAATGATCTAAAAGATTCCAACAACTGAGCTGCAATATATTAATTCAGTTTCGGATTTTCTAACTGATTCACGACTTAAACTAGGCTGCTGCCTTCCAGGTGCATATCAGCTGTTTCAGAATCATCTTCAGTCGTGGAATCCAGAACTTCTTTAATAGCTCCATATCTTAAATTTCATATTAAACGGGGCTGAATGTATCGAAAATCTTATGTCTGAAATGAACTTTAGCATTAGTAACCCTGATGGTATAAGGGTGTCACTAAGATACAAAGTCGAAATCCGAACAGCTTACATGCAGCAATTTGCAGAAGAGACAAGAGTTTGGTAACAATGAACTACACAGAAACAAAAGTTTCACCTATTTGTTTGGAGACAATATTCAAGTTTCCTGGAATGCTGAATAAGGCTCGTGCTAGCAGACTGTCTTCTCTAAACAAACTCAAGCAGGTGGATGAAGCATACTGTACTTTTCAGGACGAGACACTTTCCACCACCTACAGTTCTATAAAAAGTTACATTGTTATCTATATGTTTTTATTACCAAACCAGTTCTAAAATACCTTGAATATTGTGTAAAGGCCTTTTTTGGATCTTGCTGAGACCAAATCTATGATTTTCTAGTACTAAAAAGTGTATG